TATATATTCAATCTGATTGAAGCAATTCATTGTATACTGTATAGAATTTCAAATATTGATGTATTTTTATACTTTTGATTAATTGTCGCAATCATAATCGTTAAATTTTTTTTATATAGATTTTTTTTTTAATTTAGATGTATTTTTCCGGCTAAGGCTATCGGTACTGCCGCAGTGCGAAAAAAAGCTGCTGTTTTCTATCGGCACTGCCGCAGTGCCAAAAAGCTGCTGTTTTCTATCGGCACTGCCACAGTGCGAAAAAAGCTGATATTTTCTATCGGCATTATTGTCGCAGTGCGAAAAAAGCCTCGATTTCCTATCGGCACTGCCACAGTGCCAAAACGCTGCAGTTTTCTATCGGCACTGCCACTCGAAAATAATAAAGTGAATGTTTTTATCGATAGATTATGGTATCAATAATTGGTTAGGCTAGCCTAGCCTATGTTATTGTTAACATTATATTATATATGTTTTACAATTACTTCTAATTTTTTCTAATTATTAAAAATATACGTATATCTAGGCCCATACATAAAACAAAAATTAAACAACAAAATTAAAAATAAAATAGTAATAATAATAATAATAAAAATAATAATAATAATAATAATAATAATAACAATGCTCGAATAATACTACAATAATGAATATCAATTGTTTGATTAATGAGATGGATCAGCATATATTAAATCAACTTGCGTCTATGCTAAACCTGTTTTTTAAATAAAGATGTTATCAATTTTATTCTGTTTTAAAATAGTCTTATAAATTATGTTTATTTTCTATGATAATTTTATCCACATAATTCATGTTATCAATGTTAGTATGGTTGATAAATAATATATAAAATAATAAAAATAATAATAATAATAATAATAATAATAATAAAAATAATAATAATAATAATAATAATAATAATAATAATAATAATAATAATAATAATAATAATAATAATAATAATAAAAATAATATTAATAATAATAATAATAATAATAAAGGTGCTCGAATAATGTTTTAATAAAGAATTAATAATACTTCAACAATACTTCAATAGGCCTATTTGCGATAGTGTGATTAATAAGATATTTGTTGATTAATTTATAGAAATATATAGGTATATACCATTAATAATGATTCAGCATATTAAATCAACTTACGTCTATAGATGTAAAATCTATTTTTTCAATAAAATGTTACCTATTTTATTCTGTTTAAAAAAATAATCTTATAAATTACATTATAAAGTTTCATTGTAAATTCTGTGAGAATTTAATCCACATAATTTATGTTTTCAATTATTTAAGCATTTAAACAATCCAGTGGGCCTAACGCTGGATGTAAATGGATGTAAATGTAAAACAAAACAAAAACAAAAAACAAAAACAAAAGCATTGCCAAAGTGTTTTCGTGTATGCAAATGCTAATACTATAGCGCGATTACCGCGTATTTTTGGAAAGCAGAGCCCAGGATGGTTCACACGAGGTGACGAATATCCATCAAAATGCCGTATAAATAAACTGCAATTATGTAAATAACTTTCACAAGAAATTTACAAATATCTTAATTATTATAATCTTAATTAATATCTTAAATTAGTTAATTACTAATTAATTAATAGATTGATATAAGCATTGTGACTTATAACTACAATTTATTAATATATTTTAATTAATAAATACAAGAATCCTGCAACGAATTTTCAGGTCAGAAATTGGCATCAAAAGGTAATTTTTCAATCGCGATCTTCGTATTTGTCGGTTCATGGAAATAGCGACGATAAACATATAATAATTAGTTTATAGTTGTTACTATAGTTATAATAATAATAATTATATATAAATATATATATATATATAAATATATATATATAACATAAAAAAACAGACTTTACATTGATGACGCAAGTTGATTAATATGCTGAATCATTGTTATAATAATTATTATTTTATATATTAATTATCTACCATTTTAACATTGAAATCATGAATTAGCATGTGGATAAAATTATCGCAGAAAATAAACTTATAATTTATAAGATTATTTTTTAAAACAGAATCAAATAGATAACATATTCAAAAGCAGGTTTTGCATGAACGTAATTTTATTTAATATGTTAATTATTATTATCTCATTAATTAAACTATCGTAAAATTATTATTATTATTATTATTGTTTTTGTTTATTTTTTGTTTTA